AGCGCTGACAAGGCTGCCGTAGCAGAGCCAAGAGATCCTTGAGCTGCATGATTTAGGCGTTATAGTTTATAGGGCCTAGCATTGCGGGGTTTAGTGCTTTAGGGTTTAGGGGTTTTAGGGTTTAGGATGGTTTAGGCTTTAATTAGGGCCTAGTGATTTAGGGTGTAGGGCGAGTTTAGGGGTTTTAGGGTTTGGGCTTTAGGGCCTAGCGTTGAGAGTGATTTAGGGTTTACGGTCGGGGGTTTAGGTATCGTTGAGGGCCCCGGCGTTGCGGTTCGTTTGTTGGGGAAGTTGGGAGGTTAGTGCGCTGCGTTCGCCCCCCACCCCCACTCTCCCCCCCTCCCACCTCCCCCGAAATTGACTGGGGTTTGAATCCCTCGGCGCCTCTGCGGAAGGCCCTGTTCCACAGAGGGGGACTAAACTCCGAAGCTCGAAGCAGTTTCCAAGCGCAAGCTCAAGGCTCAAGGGAGGAAGAGGGGAGGGGGCCACCGGGGCGCAAACATATATGCATGCATGTATGCATGTATGAATGTCTAAGCATAAGCATGTGTAGATGTACATGTACATGTATATGTATATGGGTATGTATATGTCTATGTGTATGTATGTGTACGTATGTATGTATGTATGTATGTATGTATGTATGTATGTATGTATGATACATGTGTAGGTGTATATATATATATATGTATGTATAAAAACAATATATATCTGTGTTATAGTTTTAGTGTGTTCTATTCTATTCTATACCATTCTATTCTATTCTTCTGTATTCTGTCATATCTTAAATATTCTACTCTATTCTGTTCTTTTATCTTGTAGTATAGTTTGAATATACTCCATCACATGCAATTTGCTCTACTCTACTTCTAATTACTAACTATGTCTTAGAACGTATACACACAATAATATCCTCTCGCTGGTCACCCCCTCCCACCCTGTGTGGGACGGCTTGGGGCTTGAGCTCCTGCAGACTGGGTGGGTGGTTTGGCTCAGTCCTTCCTCATCTCTCTCCCCCCCCCCCCAACCGCCCCCCGCCCCTTTGGAGCGGAGTGCTGGGGGTGGGGGACGGGGGACAACCATATTTGGTGTGTATAGATATATATGTATGTACACACACACACACATCATCATCATTTTTTAAACATATTACGTGCATATATATATATACACATATAAACATATATATATATATATGACAATATTGAATATATACATGTATATACGGAGCCTAAAGAACATAGCAATGCAAAGAAGACGCGGCCCTCAATTCTGTTGAAGAGGCGATTTGGTTTTAGGCGAGCTGGCAGAAGCAAGAACAAACGCAAGAAAAGCACAACTCGCGGACAACATGGCTTAGGACTCGGTAAACCTTTAGACCCTAAACTCCCCAAACCCTGAGCGAAAGGCTTCGGGCTTGGGGGCACAGCTCAAAACCCCGAATCCTGAAGAGCATTGCTGTGGACCAAGTCTCTGCAAAGACTTGTGCTCAATCTGCCTTGGCAAAATGGCCACGCAGGGCTTCCGGCTTCAAGAGTTTGGGGTGTAGGCTTTAGGGATTTAGGGTTTATAGGGTTTAGGAGTTTAGGGTTTAGGCTTTATAGGGCCTTTTAGGGATCTAGGGGGTTTAAGGTTCCAGGCAAAGTCGAGGGTCTGAGCTGTAAGATTTGTTCAAAGGTCGGAGCAAGCCTGGGCCCTGGCCCAGGGTTCCGGGTTTAGGGGCTTAGGGTTTAGGGGCTTAGGGGTTTAGGGGTTTAGGGGTTTAGGGGTTTAGGGGTTTAGGGGCTTAGGGTTTAGGGGTTTAGGGTTTTAGGGTATAGGGGTTTGGGGGTTTAGGGCACATCAACGGGTTAGTGCTTCCGGCCCTTCGGAAAGCTGTGCGGCGCACAGAGTTTATGGACCTGTACACCTTTGTCCTGAATTCTCAAGGCCGTAATGCTGCGGAAGAACCCCAGGACCGGTTTGAAGAATCGTGAGAGTTGCTATGTGGGTTACAAGTTAGTTACAAGTGGGATATAAGTACAGCAACCTCTGCTGTGTCACTTATACCGATACTGTGCCATGATAAGAAGCCACGATGCTGAGAAAATGGCAATGCCTTCACATCACCCAGCAGCCTCGGTCGGTTTCCGCTTTGCTAAAACACACGCGCGAGTCAGTAGGCTAAGGTTTCGGGGGTATGTTATAACAGCACCATATAGACATACATAAGAGTACATAATTAAGGGGTGATATAACAGGACCATATAGAGTAACATAATTTAAGGGGACACTGCTACTCCGACATCTGCAGTACAGGATTTCTGGGACGGTTGGGGTCGGCCCCAGGCTCCCTAACCTTTAAAACGCCCGGAGTTTAGAGGCTTAGGGGTTTAGGGGCTTAGG